ACCCCATAGCACCTGAGGACTGCAGCAGCTCAGGGAGAAAGGGGCACTGTATTGGATCAGGGCCAGTCTGCATAGCTTGCACGAGAGCCAGATCCAAACTGCTTAGGGTGTTCAGATGTGCAATGTTAACATCCTATTCACACTCTGCTTTGATTAGTGATTGCATCTATTTTTACTCTGACACCAGCCGACTTCCTTCATTTTTTCTTCTTAAATAAACTGCGCCACATTCCCATCCTCCTCTGCCTGCCCTGGGTCCCTGCTCCCGTCGCTACCCTGCCGCATAAAGCCTGTTCCTGCCACAGACAGGCCATATACCTGCTGATACCCACCACAGGGGCCACTTCTATATTTTGCTTGCAATAAAGTAAACCACATTCGATGGTCCCATTCTAACTTCTTGACCATAATTACTTAAAAAGTCCCAAATGACTACATTGAAGGGAAGCAGAGCAAAATTTCCAGGAGTACCAGACACAAACTAGCAAACCTCCCAAAGGCCATGAGGAAAGAAAAGCTTTATACAATTACTTGGAGTGTATCCCCTAAAGCTTCCTCAGCTGGAGTCCTTTCTACCACTAGGAGTTTGACACACTTGTTTCATTTAAAAATATAGAGAATGCATTTAGGATCATATTTTAGAAAATGGTCCATAACCTTGCAGTTTATATAAAACAGTTTATAGCCTCAGTCTGCCAAAGGGCAGGGGCTTTGTTACAAGGGGTTGAAAATGAAAATATCTGGCTCTGCTCAGTCTGACCTGCAATTCTTTTCATGTGCAAAGGTAGAGACCTCGGGAAGAGGAAGACCAGAAGAAACGCAGGGTATGCGCCCAGGGCTGGAGAGATGTGGGTTAAATTCCTGTTCTGCCTTGTCATCTCCCCATTGATATGATTGATACAGAAGCATTTCCCTTTCTCACGATGATATTCTAAGGATAAATGCACTAAAAAATTGAGGTGTCCAGATGCTGCCTTGTGTTACTAAGATAGCTCCTCCTGATTATATGTCTCGATTTCATCTTTAAATACTGCATGAGTCAAAAAAAAACCCACCCAACCATAAAACCTGTGTTGCTGTAAGATACAGTCTGGCTAATGTATCATTCTGAGTAACATTGCTGTTGCCATCTCTGGTGGCCTGAGAAGGACCCTTTTATATAAAAATATTTGCTTCAGAGCAAGCACAGGGATTACTCCCATAGAATTACCCCTTAAATATTGAGGCCAGGGCTTTCAGAGCCAAGAACTTGGGAAAGCAGTGAGCATAGACCATCCGTGCCATGTAGAGGTATTTGCATAAGCTTTGGCAGTAGCTACAGCCATCTGAAACACTGATAAGCCAGAACAAAACATTTTGTCTGTGTAATCATCCACACCCTCAGCTCCTTGCATCTCTGCTGCCTTCCTAATATTTTACCGCAGCCATGCCTTGCAGAAAACCATTTTCCATGGCAGAGAATAAGGTTACAGAGTTACCTGTGGGTGGATCCTCACATATCAATTGGTATTTCTTCATGAAACTACTCTGAACAACCTCAGTGTTTAGTATATTTTCTTAAAATTGCAGAGGATAATGCTTCTAGTGCAATCTTTCACCTGTGATTCTTATCACCTCCCATTTGGGCACAATACCTGGTTAAACAAAGCTTAAAGCAGTGTCATATATACGTTTCTTTTCACATATCCCAAATATGTTGCAAAAAGTAATTTTTGAGAAGTTCAGAGCTGGGATTGGTATCTTCATATTTTGAACCAAAGAGATATAAATTTGGCACTATGTTGACCCACTGTGCTGATTGTACCAAAAGTGGAGGGAGTTGCTGCCAGCACTCAGTGCAAGTCAGTGCAAGAAGGTCAAAATGACCCTGTCAGCTTGAAGCCTTTCCATGTTTAGCCTTAGAAAAATCATTAAGTCTTAGTTTCCTCCTTTTTAAAAAGGAATAATCTGTCCTCCTTGAGCTTGAAGTGTGTTCCTCTCCGAAACACACTGGGTGCAATGAACACTGCGTGAATAGGGGTTGGGGGTCCCCCCAAACTGGGACACAGTCCTGGGGCCTGGCTGCACAAGATCATGAGCATCGGAGCTGCAAGAAGGCACGGCCCTACTATGGCAGGGAGCTGCTGAGTGGAGCTGTGCTCGCAGGAATAAGTTTTGTTTTGGAAACCTTTTGGTTCAGACTTAAAAGCAAACCGATGAAAAGCTTCCCGCTTCTTAGGCAGGAAGGCAGGTTTGGGAGTAATTGTCTTTTAGGGAGGTTTGGGAGTAATTGTCTTTTCAGAAGCCTGTGAAACTCAGTAACTGGACACTACCCATCTTCAAAGCCTTGAAGAAGTGGTTGATCTGCAGGAAAGAAAATCAGACATAAGGAAAAAAAATTAACAGTTGGGATTGGGATGGTGAATCTGTGGAACAGGTTATGGGATCAGTTATCAAATCCCCTTTGCTGGGAGTTTTTAAAAACAGAGGAAGGGGTTGGTGGGTGTAAAGGAAACTGATGGTACTTTTGTGCAGGAACAATGTGTGAGGAGCCTCCCAGCCACACATCTGTATGGTGCCATTGCTCAAAGGCCATGCTGGCAGCAGTGCAGCAGAGAGGTAAGGAATTCAGAGAGGGGAGATGAGACAGAGTCCATGCCCTGTGCGGTCCCTCACTGGTGTAACTGGTTTGGCAGTTGCAGAGGAATCTCAGCTATGGGACACACATACCCAGCAGACCTGCCTGTCCCTTATCCTGCAGCTCACCTTCTGAAGTAACAAGCTCTTATGGCTCCTAATAATCTCCCTTGTTCTGTCTTAGAGGTGGAGATTTCCTTTGACCAAAGTTTCCTTCTCTGAGTTACTGATCTGAAGACTCATCATAAAACACACAAAGTTTGGTATTAGTGTGGGACTAACTCACAAGCTAAATAAAAGTTTGGTGAACTGACCTTCACATACAACAGCTGACTGTCATTTTGTGCTCTACATTTAGATTTTTTCCACATAAAACAAATCACTACACATCCCCTGTTTCACAAATTGCAATAAACTTTTTGAAACACTCTATAAATATAATTTGTTCTTGTTTCATAAATGTCTCTGAACACCACCCTTCACAATGAGAATGGTTTCCCTAGTAACTAATATATTCTAAAGTCTTTTTAAAAAAGAGGGAATCTAAAAAGATGAAAACAAGAAAAAAAAAAAGACAAATGATAAGACTGAACCTGTTTGATGGACACAAGATACACCGCAGTCTGAGGTACTGTGAAGTTTTTATTGCCATTAGTTTCGTAATACTGTCCTCCCAGACTCATCCCAATATAAGGTTTATTTCACTTCAGACCACCAGAGCATGGCTTGCTCCACAGGCATGGCAAGGCACAGGTAGGACCGCTAGCTGGGCAGCTCATGGAGCCAAGGCTCTCTGCTGTCATGGTGGTTAAAGGAACCAGCCATGAAATGTGGCTCCAGACCTGACATCCTTCAGCTCTCCCTTGCAGACGTGGCAGTGGGGATGTGTGTCAGTGCCTCCCTCTGTGGTGTGAGGGCCAGCAGCCCTTGAAACCCAGTCCAGAGAGCAGCAGAGGCTAGACATATGGGAAAGTCATGCAGATGTGAATTATGGGAAAAGATAAAGAAATCCTTGCCAAAAGTCTCTGAGCTGGCCTCTAAATTCAGGCAAGAAAATTCTTATTTGACACCCTACTTTTTAAAACAGCTGTAGAGAACTGATAGCTCCTGCTGCAATATAGCTTATGGTAGGGGTCAGAAGAGGGGGTGATGTATAGAAAGGATGCTGAAGGATTTGTTACAGTCTGCAATGAAATAAATGAAAAGTGGCTTGAAAAAGCAGCAAGGCACCTTGAATATATACATGTTTGAAACTGTGTTCAGCCCTGCAGGGAAGGACGTAGGGATACTGGTGTTTGAAAAACAGGACATGAGCCATCAGTGTGCAATTGCAGCCCAGAAAGTCCATTGAATCCTGGGCTGCAACCAAACAAGTGTAGCCAGCAGGTCAAGGGAGGTGATTCTGCCCCTCTACTGCATTCTGGTGAGACCCCACCTGGAGTACTGCATCCAGCTCTGGAGCCCCCAACATAAGAAGGACATGGACCTGTTGGAGTGGGTCCAGAGGAGGGCCACAAAAATAGTCAGAGGGCTGAAGCACTTCTCCTATGAAGAAAGGCTGAGGCAGTTGGGGTTGGTCAGCCTGGAGAAGAGCAGGTTTTGGGAAGACCTTATTTCAGCCTTTCAATATATGAATAGGGCTTATAAGAAAGACAGAGAAAGACTTTTTACCAAGGCCTGGAGTGATAGGACAAGGGGCAGCAGTTTTAAACTGAAAGAGGGTAGGTTTAAATTGGACTTAAGGAGGACATATTTTTATGAGGGTGGTGAGACACTGGAACAGGTTGCCCAGAGATATTATGGATGCCTCATCCCTGGTAGTTTTAAAGGCCAGCTTGGATGGGGCTTTGAGTAACCTGATCTAGTGAAGGATGTCCCAGCCCATGGCAGAGGGATTGGACTAGGTGATTTTTGAAGGTCCCCTCCAGCCCAAAGCGTTCTGTGATGATTCTATACAATAAGTTCACAGGGCTGGTCCAGTGGAGGCACTTAGATCACTGCCCAAAGAAGCTGAAAGGGTGCAGAGGGTCGCACATGGCATTTGTGGTCCTTCCACATCCATCTGCACCTTCCACAGTCCCACAGGCTTGAACAAACTGAGTATCAAGGGGAACTGAAATGCCACCAAAGCAGAATGTCAGTGAGGCAGTCTGTAAGAAGAGCCGATACCTTTTATTAGATCAATGAAATAGTGGGGGAAAATATAACAGCCAAAAAAAACCAACAACCAAAGATAAGGCTTGAGGCATGAAAGCCCTCCTGAGGCCTGCAAGAGGAGCTAAAGAGGTAATTGGCATGGCAGCACTTTCACATCCGTGTGTCAACAGGGATGGAGAATTAGGCCCACTGCTGGAGGAGGGGGGAGAGAGGACTTTCAAACCTGGTCACCGTAAGGGGTACAGGTTAAAAAACATGTCGTCGTGGCAGTAGCTGAGACCTGTATGGCGTCCTCCCTCACCCCTGTCTCCTTGGCTTCCCCTCAGAGGTGCCAAGAGCTGGCGGTGGGGTTGTGGCTCGCAGGGCCCTCCCGGAGGTGCAGGGTATGGTGGTGGAGGGAGGCAGCTGCCGCTGTAGGTCGGCAGGGATTTCCCCTGGTGGGATTCCTCCCCCAAAGGGCCAGCGCTAGGCCTGAAGGCATCATGGCCACCCTTTGACACCAGGGTGAGGTGCTGGCTGGTGGGGTGGGCGCAGTGCCGGGGGGAAGGGGCTGGGCAGGGCAGGAGGGTAGGGCCACTGCAAGGCCTCCTGGCGCTGGGTGTCCTCCTGAGGGACAGGGTCCTGCTCCAGGTCGGCATCTCTCCGGAGCATCCGTCCTCCTCAACTGCCTTTGGGAATGGCGGCCGCCCGGAGCAGCTGCCCAGTGTGGGCTCCCGGGAGCTTTTGCTTAAATGTCCCCCCAAATTAGCAGGTTGCAGGTAAGCGTCCGGCTTGGAAAGGAGCAAAGGCAAAGCCTCCCGCATCGGCATCGCACCTGTCAGAGACTTGGGAAAGCGAGACATGGATTAGTCAAACAAGGCGTAGCCTAGCAGCATGAAATAAAAAACATCCTGCATGAGACCCTCACGAATGCATTCAATTAACACAGATAACAAAGCAGACACCATAGCAGAGCCTCCTTGTGCACTAGTGCCAGTGGGCTTTAGGGGGAAACCAAACAGGGCTCCCAGATCACAGTTCTGGGTTTGTTTCACCAGTTTTGGCCAAAAGCTTGTTTACACTGAAAGAATCGTTAGACTTTGCACTCACAGCCCTGCCAGCATATGCTGAAGAAGCACCTGAAAATGAAATTATGCTAATACATTTGACACTACAGAATTTATTTCTTTCCTATGGAGTTTGGAAAAGCTAACTATGATGTTTTTAAACTGATTGTTTTGAAGTGATCTTCTCACTACAATATTATGCTTCAGCTTTTCAAGACCCTACTTCTTTTTCTAACTGATACATTTTCCTGTAATTACATTTTTTTACCCCACAAACAAAATTTTCATTCAGGGAGGGAGCAGCACACAGAAATTATTCTCCTGGCTCTTTTGTTCTAGATACTTCACAGCTTCTTTAATTGCCCTAATTATTGGATTATAATTTTGCAAACTTTAATTCCTTTCAGAACACTCATTCTGTGCTATCGTTTCTGATGAGTACTTACAGGTCTCTCTTCTTTGTTATTCTGCTTTTTCATCCATTTAATTATAGTGATTTTGCTGACTGCTAGAGTAGCAAGGCTCCTTTCAGCTGTTCTCCACTCACCATCAGAAGAAATTCCAACAACCTGATGCAGGACCCAGCCCACCTTCAGCTAAAGACCCACTGATGCCATAGAGAAAACATCCTATGTGTCACTTGCCCTATTTTGGGCTCATACATTTTTCCAAAGTTCTCCTCCCTGGTCTCCTGTGAGCACATAAGAATTGAATCTTTTCAGAAGATTTTTTGCTGATTCAGCAACATAGGTTCTGCGTGTCTGATCAAACTCCTGACTTAGTTGTATTGCGGCTGCTCTTGGCAGAATATGAAAATAACGCCACATGACTCAGTAACATTTCCTAGGTGACGACTGTTTTAGTGTTCATGGGGACAGAATTAAACCAGTGATATGGAAATAATTGTTTCTGTATTTGTTAGAGATTTATGCAGTGGCTCAGCTGCCTTTTCTTATGCTCATGTTCCCAGGCTCTTGTGTCACGAGGCCACCACCAGTCCATCCCATACTCTCTAACTGTCCCATCCCAAGTCAGTGTGTCTCCATGAGAGTCACTCATGAGCTCTGTTTTTTAGTGTACTCCTGAGTATTTCCAGTAGAAACAGCTGCAGCTCTTAAATTCATATTCCATTCAAATGGGTTTAACTTCCTCTGTTTACTCTTTTAATCTTCTTCTTGGACTCCTGGATGCCCCTGCTTCCCCATGTCATCCATTTAAGAAGTCTGTCCCCATCCCCCCCACCCCAGCCCAATTATTGCTTTTGTCTGTAACTGAAGGGGCACTGATTACGATGCCAAGCACCAGCCTGGGGAGGATGCACCACCTCTAGCACATCAAAAGACAAACTGCCTGTGAAGACCATTGGTGTACAGTTGCGTGTAACATGGCCTTTGCAAGGAAGGTCACTGGAGACAGCCTCACTGCTCTACCTGATTCCCTCCATCTGGCACATAGTCGTCTGTGGGATCTCTGTAAATGCTTTCACAAGTGTTTCCATACCCAGCAGAGCCGATGTCTTAACGTAAGTGCTTCTGCAAGTCCTTCAAAGCACTCTTCTGCCTTCAAAGCCCTCCTGAAGACCAGGAGAGCAAGTGAGGCACACCACGCAAAGGTGATCCACCTTCCACTTACCTACCTTGGCAAAAAGCAGGGAGGGTAAGCAGAGGTGAAGGGTCCCTTCACTTTTCTGCAGCACCTCCTCCATGCCAGTGGAGGACCTCGGGATACACTGTGGAGAAAACACGACCTCCCACTGTCTCTCCAAGGGAGGGGTGGTGCCTCCTGCACCTGAGGGTGCCCTCACAGCCCTTGAGGGTCTGCAGGAGGCCAAATCCTGCTCAAGGGCAGCTGCCCTGCAGGAGACCATCTCTCTCCCTGGTGGGCCTTAAGTCTGTGAATAAAATGATCCAGGCCTGCTACTGAAGTAGTAAAGTCTCAAGTAAAGGTTGGGGGACTGGAGGAAGGAGGAGTAAGGGTTTCTGGATTTGCCTTGTTCATGACAAGTTTGTTTTGTCAAGATACCATGCACAGTATATAACAGGTATATCATATAGGTAATGTTATATATTGTAATCTATAGTAAAATAGCATACAGTGTGTGTGTGTATGTGTACACACATACATGAATCTTCCTCCTGAGTTCAGTTATTGCCAAAAGTATTTTGCAGTTTTCAAGTGTTTATTTGTTACAATTTTCTCATGGGGTGGTGCAATCAATAATATAAGTTAAATCCAGTTAAAACCTTCTATTATTCTCCCTCAGTGTCAATACAGATTAGACTAAATATCTAATTACTTTATTCCCAGATTTCTTTGTAAATAATTTAATTTGTGGAGCAGCACTAACAAAGAACTTGCAGGAAATTTTTTTTAAAGGCAACTCTTACTTCTAAAATAGGAAAGAGCTGGGGGTCTAAAGCTATGTCCATGCTGCTAAATAAAATGAGGCCAAGGACTGTCATTGGTAACAGGGACAAAAGGCATGGCCTGGCGATGTCAGCACTACATCCTCGCCTTGGGAGATCTCTGGGCCCGAAGTGAAATGATGCAACGGCCGTGTTGCCGCCCACCAAGAGCTACTTTTCACAGCATCAACTTGAGATTCTTATTGCCTGTGGCTTGTAGCAACGACATGATGTAGAGGCACAGGCAGGTTCAAAGCCTGTGAAGGGACCCAAACCTCATGCAGCCTTGTCCAAAATCCTTCCAGGAGATGGTCCCTGGCACATGCTGTCCTCCTGACCTGTGCCAGGGTATTTTGTCTGTGAGCACGAGTTAGTGCTGGCCAAATCCATGGCAGGCACCATGTGAATAGTGATGTGAATGAGCCTACCCACTGGCCCTGCTTTGTTTACCAGTATAGATGTAATCCCCTGCTGCCACCAGGCCCAAAGAGGCTCCAGGTGGGGGCTGCTGGCAGTGGATGACAGTGATGAGCAGAGCAGGATGCTCTGTTCCTTCTTGGCCTGATCATGGGAAGGAGAACGTGGAGATGTGAAGCCCATTCTCACCCAGACCCACAGCCTCCACCATGCCTTGAACCATGAATCACTGACCCCACAATTTCACTGATTGATAATAAGAGTTACCTCAACCTCCCGGACTCTTTTTAATCTTGGAGAAGCTGGAGAAAAAGCTGTCTGAGCTTTTTGGATTGATCTTCGTGCTTCTGCTTCTAGTTTTGTTTCTGGACGTGGATGATCATGAGCTCCTTTGGACTTTAGGAAAGAATTATGATATGTTAAAGTTAGAAACAACCTTGTTATTAATCTTAAGGGAGAAGATTTTGTAGCACAGGCCAAATCCACATATATGGCCTGATTTAATGCTTTGTATTTAATAAGACTTATTTAATGTGAGCTTAAGTAACAAGCGTATCTCAGATTAAGTGCAATGGGGTAGAAATTCTCTGAAATCATAAAACCAGTGCACCACATTTATGTGCAGAAGACAGTCCCCACACTAGAGCCCCAACTGAAGCCACAAGGTCTTCTGCAGCCTGGCTACAGTGTCCCTGCAGTCATTTCCATTCTTCTCACCCTTTAGACATATTTATCAGAACATTAATTTCCATTAGCTTCCACAGAGAATTAATTTTATTTAACCTGCACATAAGTGAAAGTCTGGAAAACAGGAGACAGCTCAGTGGTTATGGTACAAAATTAGGATTACAGCTTCCAGCAATAGTGCCCATTATTTACACATTTGCATACACTGTTTTCCAGATAGAAGTTACTATAATGCACAGATGGCATTTTCCATAGACAGTCCCTTGGGTACAATGATTTCCTGTTTTCAAATAGCCTCATGCTTATGCATGGTGCCTTGGAGAAGAGGTTGCGATAATGGGATTTCTGACTTTTTGGGGATTCGTTGGTTCCTATGCACCTGAGGCAATGTGTTTCAAAATCAACAGGTTTTCATGGGAGCCTAAATGAAAAATATAATATACTGTAAAATCATAGTAGTATAGGCTAATTTAGGTTGGAAGGGACCTCTGGAGGTCTAGCCCAACCTCCTGTTCAGGCAGGACTAATTTCAAAGTTAGATCAGGTTGCTTAAGACCTCGCCTACTCATTGTGAAAGTTTTTCTGCTTACAATTATTTGACCCTGTCATATTCAATCACTTTTATTTGTTGGAACAAAAAATGTCCCTAATCAATCTTAAAAAAAAAAATTAAAATTAACTTGCATAATGTAAGGTGATGATTTTATACCAACCTGAAAAAATATGAATTGGCCTTCATGCCTCCAGAAGTTGGTAACTGGGTAACCACCATGGCCTCGGCAGGAAAGCAGCCGCAGGGGTCCACTGCAGTTTGGACAACATTTCCCTGGAGCAAAGATGGTGGGAAATATTTTCTGTACAGCACTGATCAGGTGAATCCCGTGTGATACAATGGTTCATCAGTGGTGGATTCCCACTTCTGGCTCAGGGCTCAGAAACTACACTGAGAAAAACTACGCAAAAAACTTCCAAATGTAAGCAAAGATCAATATAAGCAAATTATTAATTGCCTTTATTGTGTTCCATTATTAAATACAACTGGCAAAAATATTTATATTATAGCTTTCTTATCATTTTATCATTTATTATGATTGTTGGTTGTAGTTCTTTCTAACTTGGCAGGGTCTGGAATGTCATATGTATTCTTGTCTGATTTTTCTAGAGGACATCACTCTGACCTCTGTGAGTGCTTAAGTAATACCTTTCTTTAGCCAAAATGTTCTCAGATACAGAAAGCAGTATGTGCTAGCTCTACTGAGCAATCAACAATTGTTTGAAATGGTCTTGTTAAAAATACATGTGCAGCTCATGTTCTCTATTTGCATTGTCTTGCTCCAATGACATGACTACAAGGCCTATTTTCCAGTCATCATAGTTTATAAGTAACTTCTTTCCTGCGAGACTTTCTTGAGTTACTCTTGGGCACATGTAATAATGAAGCCAATAGCAGGAACAGCAGAGCAGGAAGATGCCTGCACTACACAGCTTTCTCAGTAACCTCACTTGTGGGCCTAAGAAGGCTGGGAATCAATCTCTAACCATCAGAACTAGAGATGAAAAAAGAAAACAAAAGGAAAAGAAGCAAACAACTCCTCCCCCAACGTTAAGAAATGTAAAATGCATTGTTCCAAAATCAAGAGTTGCATTTGAATATATGGAATGGCAGCAGGAAGGTTTTGTAATCCAAAAGGTATCCTCTACTTGGCTTTCTTTTATGTTGTATTCACGTATGAACTGCCATACAATGAACAGACACATTCATACTCACGCTGTTGTTTTTGCCTAGCTTTATCACATATGGCTGGTCTTAGGTAGATCTTCCTCCCATCCAAGGTCGAGCAGTCATTGCTGCAGACCACCACCCCAAGGCAGGATTTTTTTAAGATACGAGAGTTGTGGTTGTTGGTGTTTCGCATTGCCCAGCTGCTGTGGTGCCTCTGAGCATTTTTATCCTCTGAGCTATAGATATGTTTTACATAGGAATCCGGCCATTCTTGAAACCAGTCTATCTTTCTCACGTCCTGTGGAGACATCAAAGTAAGCCACGTTTTAGCCTGGGAAAGAGAAGCCAGAAGCCAGCAGACCTGGTCCTCTGCTAGGTGTCCTCTAGCCTGGGTGACCCCAGCATCCCAGCAGGTGATGCTGGTTGGCAGGAGGGAGCAGTGGAGAGAAGGCTCCCCATGGCTCCCTGCAAGCCCCAAAGCATCAGGAAAGCCTGGCCAGGAGGTTGCTCTCACTCACTCACAGGTCCAGCTCAGTGCAGAACCTCCCTGGGAGAGGAAGGTGGGGGCCCTGACATAAAATGGCAGATACATTCCTTGCAGGCGGCGGTCACTGCCTGACTAACTTCAGTTAGTTTTCATGGCAGAGATCCTGCTTTGCCTTTCAGGCCATGCACAGCAATGTTACACTGAATCATTTGGCTTGATTTGGCTCTACTCACGGGAAAAAAGGCAAATACTGAATCAAACTGAGACTCTGCCCACATTTGTAGGTCTTTAGTTCTGGACTTTGGTTTGTTTTGACCTAAGTGCCATGGAAGACTTCCACAGTGATTTTTCTGAAGTCCAAAACAAATAACATCTTGGTGATTTTTTTTTTCCCCACTGCTATGGACTAAGTGAAAAAAAGCCTCAAATACAACACCACTGTAAGGAACAATAAAAATAAAACTCAATGAAAGAAAAGACAAAGGACCACACATCACCTCAGTGGGTACAGTCAACACAGCAAAATGCAGTAAGCTGTAAAGCACCTGACATACCCACTGATGATTTTGAGGGAAAAGGTCTTGTAGGGGTACAAAAACTTAATAGGAATTTCCTTGAGATTACTGATCCCAGCCACTGAGAGCCATTACAGCAGCAAGAACATCAACTGAGAAGAGAACCCCCCCTGTGCTTCCCCAGGAGCCATCAGACAGGGTAGGGAAGGGTGTGGAGAAAGCCTCCAGGCTGAAATTCAGGTGAAGGTGACCTTGGGGTGAAGGGCAGGGAAGGAGGCAGCCTGGGGCATGGAGGCCTTGGGTGAACAGCAGTGTCATAGTAGGGAAGAGACTGGGATCAGGTAAGAAGACAGGGTTGGGAGGTGAAAGGCAGAGCTAGATGCTGAAGGAACGCAGCGGGAGGAATCTGGCACAAATATGCTGAGGTGACAGACAGAGAGATGACGTTGGCGTGCAGGGTACTGTGGGCTTTCAGTGGAAAGCATGGCTGAAATTTTTAAATAAGAGGACTAGGAAAGGACTGAGGGAGGGAAAGATCACAATTCTGCCTCTCAGCAAACCTCTGCAAACATGAAACAAGCTTTCCCTAGGGGCTCGTGAAAGGAGTGTTGCCTCCATGTGGAAAGCCAGCCCACTTGCCTGGAGCCCGGTCTGCAGCCAGGCTGAGCACCCACAGTTGCAAGGCAGTCATGGGTGCTGTGCTCCCTTACTACCCAGGGCAAAAAGCAAGTCCTAGACATCTGTCATTGAGCACCCACAGCAGGACATAATTTTTTTTTCCCTGCACCTCATCCATCAGTGGACTGGAAAGGCAACGCATCTGCAGCATTGCTATTTTTCATGTGTCAGCAGCTCTTCCAAGAATACATTTAAGGAAAAATGCATGGAAACTTCAATATCTGCTCAATATTTTCTAGCTTTTCAGTAAAACACTGTCCATACCTCAAGGTAACAAAGAGAATAAAAGCAGTGAGGCATAGATAACTGACAAAGCACTTAAGATCAGCGGTGAAGTAGAGATGACTGGTTAGAACTGGATACATTTCTAAGACATAGACACATACCTGGGGAAGTTTGATGTCATTGATATCCCAACTTGTCATTTCTCCATGTCGGGAAGCAGAGTCCTCCTGCTCCATAACAACATCATCTACGCCTTTCAGCATTTTTTAATTCCTTCCCAAAGTTTGCGAGAAAGTTTCTCCTGGCTGCTTTTGAAGTTGACTGGCTGTCAGCACTCTCAAAGCGGTTTACAACCAGGAAGCTGTTTCCTGAAGCTAAATGATAGAGAGCCTGCTCATTAAAGATAAAAATCAATGTTCTTCTGCCAGAAAAACTTGTTCCATTAAAAGTTTTGCAAGCCGGCAATGCAGTGGAAAATATAGGTTAGAGATAGCCTGTGATGTTATAGAGGCATCGTTAACAGCAAGCAAATAGTGCCTTTGTCATCTGTTTTGTTTTGCTCGGTCTCCTCTCATACCGAGTTTATCGTCATGTAACTCTGCTTGCAGGCTCTTTGCACATCTGATCTGACTCTGGCTCAATATTTCCAGAGCCAAACTGATTGAACGGCTCAGTGGCTGCTGCAGGTTCTTTGAGTCGCTGCGGACCCATTAGATATTTCACATACTGCACATGACAAAGGTGAGCAACAAGAGGGGACTACTACCATTTCAGATGAAATGGCGCTCAACCGTTTCAACTATTGTTGGCATCTCTCAGAGTTAACCAATTGCATGAGGGAAGATTACAAAAGAAGGTTGGGCTGCCTGCATTTTCCTATCTCAACAGCAGGCTGAAGTAAAAAAAACCCACCAAGGTATGTTTATTAAAACCAACAGTTTTTGCCTGAAATCTTGTAAAGCAGGCGGTTGCTCTACTCCAAATTTCAGTACCAGCTAAGCTTAATACCATATCCTCAGGGATCCCATGCATGAAAAAATTTTGGGGTTTGTTTCCTTTGGCAAGGAGACAAAAGGCGAATCAGAAAATGAACAGGCCATTTTATTCTTTCTGGAAATGGGAAAGCTTCAAGGGTTTGAGGAAGGTCCCTGTAATGTATGCCAATTAAGCATTTGTTAAAGACTACTAAGTAGTGGGAGAAGTAAAATCTACTTGATGAGATTCTATTTCATAGACTTTATTAAGCATAATTTATTTTATTGTTGTTTCCGGCTCTGCATATGCACAGCCCTTGGAAAGGGACTTAGCCTTCATGTCCTTAGTTTACCCATTTATAAAATACCTGTGATCTTATTTTCTCATGTTATATTATCACTTCTAAAGCAAGAGTTTGCAGATATTTGCGGAGCACCTGAGACATTTGGCTGAACGGTGCTCTGGCAGTGTAGTCAGAGCCCCACTGCCCCACTTCGGGTCTCAGGCTGTCGAGGGGGGGGAGAAAGAAGGCTTATGGCAGACCATCCCCTGTGGAAAAAGACCCCCCAGAGTCCTCCCCCCAGAGGAGTGCCTGGTAGTCATCACCAGTGTGCTCAGGAATTTGAGCTGAAGCTGGTTCTTGGAGGGCAACTAACCCATCACAGATTGAAATAAGATGTTAAACCAGAGAAGGGAACATCACTGCTCAGAAATACAAATGGCTGAAAGAAACATTAGGTCTTCATATATTTTCATATTGTGTTACAATGAAGATGGAGATAGTAAAGTCAAGACAAACAAAATATGAGCCGCATTGGAAAACTGAGTTGAATATACTAAACAAATGACCCTTGACTATTGTGTGGCCTAAAACATGAAATGATTTGTTACATAATTCAAAACTATATTCTCATTGCTTTTAAAATTACTTTTCAAAATAAGATGGCTTCAAAATTGATTTTTAATTTCTTTCTTATTAGAGAAAATTGAATATTTCTTCTTTTATGTTATACTGAAATAAAACAATAATTAAATCTTACCTTAAAGATTAATGAAAGAGATAATCTCATAATAATACGCAGAAAAAATGAACTTAGAGAGAATCATACATATTTAGCTACATGCAGGCAAAGGCCGCAATAGTAGCAAAAACTTTGAGCAATAATTAAAAGATGATGTGGCATATTAAATTTCTGATTGTTACTTGTGTAACTTTAATTTTGACTAATGTGTAGCAGCTTTATAAATAGTAAGGTCTGAAATATTCTTTCTTTTTCCTCTCTTTAGTCCTGGGATGTCAACTCCTATGAAACTAACTGCAATGCTGGATTAAAACAGATGTTCAACACCTTGGAAGAAGGACAGGCAGATGATCACTGTAGGTCTCTTCCAACTGACCCTTACCTACCCTTCCCTCCCCTTCCCTTCCCTTCCCTTCCCTTCCCTTCCCTTCCCTTCAACAAACTGTTCTGCTTCTCTTAGATAAAAAGTGAAAATTTAGATGTCAATAATGAATTATTTTGATTTGGAAAAACACATGTAAGAAAAGAGGGAATTATTATATTAAGGATGGAGGTAAGTAGCAACTCTATTTGCCACTGGAATGTGGTGCAATTCATTATGCTTGAAAACCAGTGAAACTAATCTAGTTCTTCTCCTGCCCTTTGTTTTTTTCTTATTTTCTTATTTCTTGTAAATCCTTATTGATACAGAAGGTAAACAGCAGCATGTAGCAAGATTCTGGTTTTGGTCCAATGTTTACTGTATCTGTTGATCTAGAAGTGAAGAAAACAGAAAGGGAGAGAAAAACACAGAGATTACAAAAATATATCTGAATTAATTAGTTAGAAGAATGAACTTATATTTCACCCTGACAGACTAATTTAGTTTAGAAGTACTTCTCTCTCTTACAGAACTGCTCTCAATAAATTTGTGGAAGTGACTGGTCGATCCATATGGTCAGTTCCACAAACACAAGGTGTCAGACAAAAAACCACCAGGCTGCTGGAATACAGAAAGACTGCAGTGAAGAGCCACACAATAAACTATGGTATTACCAATTCACAGACCATCACTGATTTTTCACTTACCATACTGTGCTAAAAGACCAGTCTTTCACAGAAAGAGAAAGGGCTCAGAGCATAGGAAATCCATAAAAACTGAGATTGTTCATTCGAGAAAAGAGATATATAAGCAAGGGCACTATAAAAATGACCTAAAATACAGAGGGATGTAAAGGGGATGCTTCTTGTTATTTAACCACCCAAGAACCCCATTGCACAGAGTGAAAACAACTGGCAAATTCAAAAGTGAGGCAAAGAAATGTGGTTTTCATTCACTATATAATTAGTATTGTTTTGTCTATGGAAACTTATTTCCTCTCCCTACAAGCCTTGCTCCACTTGTTTCTTTAGACTCTTGTGCTACAGCATTACCACGAGTGTTGCTGTAGTATGTCATTAAGGTTGAACACTAGGCAAGACAGAAAAAGAGATTAAAAACATAGGAAAGAAATAATATTTGAAGATCTGCTATTTAATACTTACATCTGTGTAACATCTTAAATATCTTATAATACATTTAGAAAGAGATATTAAGGGTTATATTTTGACTTATGGAAACTTTTAACTAGCAAGGATTAGGAATTTCTTCTATTTTCCTTAGAAGTATTTGGGGTTGACTGCTTAGGAAAAGGATTATGAATTTTTACAAGAGATTATGTATATTATCAATTTACATGACCCCACAGGTTAAATTAATTTAATATGATTTGCAAGCTCTTGTTTGGAATGACAGTCTTACAGACCATAACCACAGATGGGTGTCAGGAGTTCTTCAGCAGTCGTCTATGACAAGAGATCAAGGACTGGAAAAAGACCTGGAGCCCTAAAAACCTTCTTGCATTCAGGCTCACGCTCTGGAGAGGGCTGTGAGACCCTGCAGAGCAGCACCTGGGGCAAGCAGCAGTCTTGCTGCTGAGGTTGCGCACTGCTCTCTTTGTCCACCAGGCTCTGCTGAAGGATGGTAGCTGGTGGCAGGACCACGTGGATGTAGGCTATTATGGAGCGGTCACCAGATCAGGCTCCTTTCTTGTATTGTTTTACCACCACATGAAGAGGTTGCTTTTGTCAGTGCTCCCATCAGTCTTCCTTTCTCTCTCTTTGGTGTCAACTTTCAGCGATGACAAACTTTAACTGATCTCAGGTGCAGTCAGTTGCCCTTCACATGGGCTGAGCTACATGTCCCACCAACAGCGTGTTTCACTATCTTCCGTGGCTGCCTTTACACCTTGCCTTCAAGTGCGTGGTTTTCCCTGACATGGAAAGGTTGTCCCTGCTGATGACAGCTCTCCTGCCCCTCATCCACTGTGGGCATTGGCCTTTGCAAGCCTCTCATTCTTCTTTGGTCCCCCTTTTATTACTGCAGATTTGGGTGTTGCTGCACCACAGGAACTAAGGAACATACATGGCTGGATGACAACTCTATTGTATCAAGGTGCTGCTGATACTCCCTGAGGCGTATTTCTCCAGATTGGCCTAACTTTTTTTTTTTCTTTTTTCAAATACATTCTATAAACTTAATAATAACAATTTTATCTTCAAGTTTAGCCTTGCTATGTGGCACCAGGATGAAGTAATATGATTAAACTCCCAGACGTGGAGCATAAACTCACTACAAATAGACATGTCCTTTGTAATGAGAAGACAGTTTTGGCCTGTGCGAAAGTGCACAGGGGATGCTGCTCATTTTCTGGAGACAAGCTTTTGTTCCCCAATGGCCCTGATGTATCCTCAAGTTGGCTGTCTCTATATTCAACATCATTTGAAATGCTTATGCCGTCTTCACCGTTTAGTATCCAAAAATGAAAGCTTCTCACTTGTGATCTGGCTCTTTGAAAGAAAAATGGACACACTTTGAGATGGAAGTATTTTTAAGTCCTTCATTTGTTTTGTTTGTCCTCTGTTTCTTTTTAATTATTTTCTTGAAATTGGTCTTGTTAATGCCCTTGATATCAAAACCAGCTGATGATATCGTATTTTTGTTCAGTTACCATATTTCTGAATTACGGACTGCTCTGAAGAAGAAGTCAGCTGTAGATAGTGTAGTTCTTCATGCTTTGCTGCCTCAGTCACATTCATTGAACACTTCTTGAATTTTCTTTTTTATTTAAAAGTTTAATTTCCCATCACTGTCCAGACATCCTTTTTTTAGAAGGGCTGTCTGAAACTACATATTCTGCAGGGTTCTCTGATAGTCACATCATATAAAACAGACGTGTCTACACCATAGATTATAAACCAGACAGATTAGCCCGGAATTCACCTCAGAGCTCAAACACTGATGAATGTCTTGGACTGTCTTTTTTTCTCAGGCTACAAATATGTAGT